TTTTTTTGGTTCGGCTATTCTAACGCCGTTATTCTTCCCTCCTCCTCATCCTCCTCCTCTCCCTCCTCCTCCTCCTCCTCCTATTCCTCCTCATCTTCTTCCTCCTCCTCCTCCTCCTCCTCCTCATCTTCTCCCCCCTACTCCTCCTCATCTTCTTCCTCCTCCTCCTCCTCCTCATCTTCTTCCTCCTCCTCCTTTCCTCCTCCTCCTCCTCATCTTTTTCCTCCTCCTCCTCCTCATCTTCTTCCTCCTCCTCCTCCCCCTCCTCATCTTCTTCCTCCTCCTCCTCCTCATCTTCTTCCTCCTCCTCCTCCTCTTCTTCCTCCTCCTCCTCCTCCTCTTCCTTCTCCTACTCCTCCTCCTCCTCATCTTCCTCCTCCTCCTCCTCCTCCTCCTCTTCCTTCTCCTCCTCCTCTTCATCTTCCTCCCGTTCTGTGTATGCGGAGATAGGGTGTCTAAGAGGGCTGAGATCCGTACTTGCTGTGTGTTTTGCCGGTGTCATGCAGGGCAAGATGTCAGCCAAGCATCTCACAGAGCAGATGAAGCTGCACTTCATCGTGGAGGGCGTTGCGGGGAAATATGCATTCAAGGAATCGAAGCGGTGGAAGTGCAAGTACTGCGACCACCGTTTCATCGGGACTGCGACGAAACTCACGAAACACTTCCTCGAAAAGTGCAGCCTTGACTATTGCACAACGGAAATGTCGGTGGAGGAGAGGGTGAGGAGGGAAGAGGGGATAAGGCAAGGGAAGTGGCTTGCTCGCGTGCTGACGCACGGAGAGGCACTAGGGTCCGGGCCCAGCAATTCGCAGACCGCCGCTGAAAACGTCCCTCAGTTTCGTAGCTCGGAGGTGGGTGCAGCGGGCATCACCGATGAAACACCCACGCCTCAATCGACTGCAGGCACAATTCATGGATCGAAGGCATCGAAGGCAGTTCCAAAGGGACCTTTGCGGCAAACATTGATCGAGGAGGCCGACAGTGTTATCACGCGAAACGAGCGGACGAGTCGGTTTCTCGACAGGTTTCTAACCTGAACAAACCAACCGTTCAGTTTGGTGGAGAATGAGTATTTCCTAGAGTTCATTGACGCGGTGAAGAAGGCCCATCCGACGTGGATGCCGTGCAGAAGCGATGAGCAAAGGACGAAACGGCTGGACGCTGACTACGCGCGGCTTGGGGCGGAGGTGCGTTCGATGATCCCGAAGTGGAAGAAGTCCGGGTGTATGCTGCAGATGGACGGGTGGTCCGATCACCGGAACAAGCCCCATCTGAATGTCATGGTGTCCTCGCCAGTCGGTACGGTCTTTTGGAAGTCAGTGTGCATGGAGGGCAAGGAGAAGGACGCTGAAGCTTACTTCCGTGTCTTGGATGGGGTCATCAAAGAGATCGAAGCGGACACAGTCGTTGGTGTCGTCATGGACAACGCAAGGGTGTGCGTCAAGGCAGGGAAGATGGTGGAGGCCGCCTATCCGAACATCTTTCGCGTCGGATGCACTGCGCATGCGCTCGATCTTGCGCTGGAGGACATGGATAAGCACATGCCTTGGATGGCGGAGGTGGTTGATGCCGGGAACAAGGTCGGCAAGTTTTTCACGAATGTGGACAAGGCGAGGGCCATGTTCCACAACTACTCACCGAAGACGAAGTTGAAGCGCCCTGCGACAACCAGATTTGCCACCAACTTCACGATGCTCGGGTCTTTGAAGGAAATGAAGAATGCACTGGATCGCTGCGTTTGCGATGTGGGATGGGTGGAGAAGATGGTACGGGCAGAGCAGTTAGTGGTGTTCAACGAGGTGATGACCATCATTCTTGACAAGGGCGAGTTTTGGAGCAACCTCAACAAGGCGCTCGATGTGATGCAGCCCGTAGTGGAGCTGCTTCGGCTGGTGGATGGACAAGGACCGACCATTTCGAAGGTGTACTTCAAAATGGATCGGGTTGTTCAGCGCATGCGTGCCCTCGAGTGCCTCTCAAGTGACGAGCACGAGGCGGTGGAGCGCATCCTCATGGACCGCTGGTCATTCATGACCAGCGAGCAGCATTGCGCTGCAGCCTTCCTGGATCCTGAGCACCGAATGCAGAACGCGCAGCACGACCCGGAGGTTCGCTCAGGATATAACATCTGGCTATACTCCTGGATGCCACGAGATAAGCTCAAGGAAGTGAGCTTCCAGGTTGACCAGTGGGTCAACGCTTTAGGAGGGTTCTCCACAGAGTAGGTGCGCGAGCAAGCCAGCCAGCACCCACCAGCTTTGTGGTGGGAGGCTTTTGGCTCCAAACACGACCTCCTTGCACCGCAAGCCATCAAATTGCTTGGCCAGGCAAGCTCCTCCGCTGCTTGTGAGCGGAACTGGAGCTTGCATGAGCTCATCTACGGGAGAAGGCGCACGAAGCTCATGCCGGAGAGGATGGTCAAGCTCGTGTACAACAATTGGAATGTCCGCCTTCTGAAGAGCATTCGGCGCGGCGGGGGGGATGAAATCCACATCCCATGGGCGTATGACGTCCCGGTGGACAAGGAGATGGAGGACTGGTACGCAGATTGGCTGAAGCGTGTCCACGGAGATGTGGAAGAAGAAGAGGTGGTTGTGGCGGACGTCGAAGACGAGGAAGACGAGTTTCCACTGCGGCGCACCTTCCAGTGCAATGACGAGGTTGACGAGAGGCTGTGTGAGGAGGAGGACTCTGTTCTCGTCGGTACAAGGGAGCGCGATTGGCACGAGTGCACGAAGCCCGGGAAATACCGTGAGCGTGAGTTGCGCAGGAGATCAGGCAACGAGTTGCCCGTGCCTGAGGAGTTGTATACGGAGGAGGGCTATGCTCTTGCATTGGCAGCTCGACGGGCGGGCACATGGGTGGAGGGTCGGGAGGAGGGACCACGGAGGAGGCRCACAAACAAGGGCAAASAGAAGSYTGRTGRCAACGCGCCCGTGCAGTGTGGCAAAAGGAAGGCTGTTGAGCAAGAACAGCCACGACCGAAATGGGGCCGTCCCACATTGGCGGAGCAGGCAGAACGCAGGGCACGAAAGGCGGAAGAGAAGGCCGCCAAGGCAGCAGCTGACGCTGCCGCAGCAAAAGCTGCTGCGGCCAAAGCCGTTGCGGCCAAAGCCCGAGCATCGGCGAAAGCCGCCGCCAAGAACGCTGCCGCTGGGAAGACGAAGAGAGCCGCCACCATAAATGATGACGACGATGACGATATCTCGGAAGACATCTGGGGAGATGAAGAGCTCGAAGGCTCAACATCGACTTCTTCCTGCTCAAGTGACACATCTGATTCCTGTGGGGAGGAGGGAACGGAGGAGAGTGACGAGGAAGAAGGCGGTGAGGGTGAGGCGCAGCCGGAGGAGAGCGAGGAGGAAGAAGGGGAACAGGCGGCGTAGGGTGCACCCGCTGTGCTGTTTTGGCAGACAAACTCAAGTTACTAAGCAATTCGAATGTTGAACTTGTGGATCTTTTTTATATAAGTTTTTAACTTTTTGTCAAGTTTTCTGTTGTCTTTCTCATTCTTTGCTGTGTGTGGTGCATCATCGATTGTTCATAGTTTGTTTTCTGTGTTTTTGTGATGCCATACCGCCGCTCGATTGCATGGATGCAATGAAGGCCTGCTGCCGTGTTTCGTCTTCGCACTCCAAATGCAGGTGAGTGGGACACCCCCCCCCTTCAACCACTCGAATCACAAAAAAAAAAAAAAAAAAAAAAGGAACAGGAAGAAAAAAAAAGAACAGGAAGAAAATAAAACAGAGTTTCACTGTTTCACTAACTGTAACAACTTCAACTACCTGGACCTGCGTGGACAGAACGGTACATAGGCCCGACCTGTGCTCGGGAAAATGCATTGTCTTTACTGAATCGGCACACTGTGCACAGAGGTCTCGAGGCCCTGTGCGCACAGCGCACAGCGCACGGCGCAGAGTGCGCTCATCGAAAAAAGGCCGCACTGCGCACATCGCACCGCACCGCACAGCGCACCGCACCGCGCAGCGCACCGCACCAGGGCGCCGCAAGTATGCTCCAAACCTTCGCTGCACAACGCTGGGAGGGTATACGCATAAGAGAAAGAATGACACGACATCAAAAGGAAGGTTCTATGGATAAAAAAAATTTCGGTATGGCCCGGGCACGCATGCGTAGAACAAAAATAGAAGCGTTATATGACCCGCAGTCGGGTCGCAATGACATGGCCACCTCTACCCCTGAATGCACACGGATAGCCAGAACTTTTTTCAAAGACTTATTTACCTCGAGAGGTGGCCAACAAGAGAAAGAGATCAGGGAGAAAAAAATCACAGAATTTTTAAACCCGATGACAAAATCCGTGACAGGCCAACAAAGAATGGATCTGGACCGGCCCCTATCCAAAGAGGAAATCTGGTCAGCGATGATGCAAATGGATGAGGAAAAAAAAACGGGGCCGGACGGACTCCCCAAGGAGTTCTGGGAGACCTTCTGGTCTCAAATGGCCCCGGACCTCATGAAATTCTATCGCCTAGTTTGGGAGATGGGGAGTACAGGGAAGCTGGTGGGGCAAGGTATCCTCACGTTGCTGCATAAAAAAGGAGACATGATGAATATCCGAAACTACCGCCCTATAATACATTTCTCAGCCTTTTGGCTAAGATCAAGTGTAGTATCTATTCTGATCAGTTAAAAAAAAATAAATAAAAAAAAAAAATAAATAAAAAAAATTCACTACCGCCCTATCACGCTGCTTACCGTCGTGTATAAGATGTTGGCGAAAGCCTTGGCAAATCGGTTAATTTCGGTGCTGGATCAGATTATCCATCCGACACAAACTGATTTTGTCAAGGGCCGTAGGATCCAAGATAATATTTTGTTGGTCAATGAACTCCTTAAACTAACCAGGCAGGATAAACAAAACGTGGCCGTGGTCTTCAATGATTTTGAGAAAGCCCGCGACCACGTTGACTGGCAGTTTTTGGATAGTTGCATGGAAAAAATGAATATAGGCTCGGTATTTCGCCGCTGGACCGAAATTCTGCACCGTAACGCAACCACAAGTGTCCAGGTGAACAGCAGATTGGCGCCTCCATTTCCGCTGCAACGGTCTGTCCGCCAAGGCGACCCGTTGGCACCTTTCCTATTCATAATTGTGATGGAGGCGCTAGCAGCGAACCTCCAGGCAAACAAGGATCTAAAAAAACTACACACCTCGGCCATCCCCGAAGAAGCAATCCCCATCTGTTCAATGCTTGGGGACGATCTGACACTAATTGTGGATGCTACCATTGAAAATATGGAAGAGATCAGACGACTTTTTGACAGGTTCACAGGAGTCTCAGACATGACTGTCAATTGGGGTAACAAAACACGGGGATGGTGATTCACCACCAAGGGGTGCGCCCTCCGGAGCTACTCTGAGTTAAATGGCTCCCAGAATCGCCCCCAGTGAGAGTGATGGGAATCATGTTGACAGCAACAGGAAGACCTGCGGCCAGCGATGATTGGATTCTTAAACCTGCACTGGAGAAGCTGGCACGCTGGACTGATCAACACACCTCCTTGATTGGTAGGGCGTTAGTGATTAATAGTGTGGTGCTGGCCGCTCTATGGTACAAGTCTGCAGTATGGGCACTTAGCAAGGATGCAATACGGTCGCTTAGGCGACAAATAACAGTCTTGTTGTGGAGAAGTAACAGAGAGCTTCCAAATGTTATCAGCAAGGTGGCTTGGCTATCGGTAATCCAACCCAAAGACAAAGGGGGCTTGGGGATTTTGGATCCCGATACTTAGACCACAGTGATAATGGTTCAATGGATCAAGAGGCTGGTGCTCACACAGGACCTTCCCTGGTATGCCTTGGCACTGGAGCAGATCGCCCGGCTGGCCCCGCAAGCACCACAAACAGTTGACCCCCTGACTTGGCTAGAAGACCGTTTCTGGTCTATCCCACGACGCTCCCGCGCCGACCAGACCACGAGCCGGGGCGCAGCCCGTGGCGACCTTGCCAGGGATGATTTCTGGATCCGATGCTTGCGAGCTTGGCGCCAGCTCCCGCTCCCAGATAAACCCGGACCAACCAGGTGAGAGGAGGTGGCTAGACAACCCCTGTATGGGAACATAAATATCACGGACTGGAATGGGAGGATATTCTGCAGTTCAGACCCCTGGAGCAACTGGGTTGAAAAAGGCATACTTAGAGTTAAAGATATCTAGGATTCAGAAAACAAGGACTGGAAAACGGCGCCACAGATGAGGACATCATTGAAACACTGTCATAACATAGAAAGGAATCTGGACCAGCTGATCTTCGCAATCCCCCTAGATTGGGTGCGCATTTTGGGCAGGGGACCAAGGCTAGTGGAAGGGGATTGGGTTGCTACTCCGGGAGACTCGGAGAGTGTAGGGAGTGTCGTAGAGGTACACACATATGAAATATTGGTAAACCTCTTCTATAAGGGAACCGACAATGTGCTAACCAGATACACCCCGGAAGTGACGAGATGGTGGCGGAACGCTGATCTGCACAGGATCCGGGTGTTTAAAAACAAGGAAGATTGGATAGCATACCGACCGCAGACCCGCCTTGTAGACCTCCCCTTCGACCCTGAGGAATGGCAATGGCCCCCTGCACACAGAACCCGGGTGACTAAAAATGTAATGCTTTCGTGCCTGACTGTGAAGGCCACGTATAGGTTACTGCGCCCCAGAGTAAACTTGAAAACATTGTCAAGACCCGTTGGAGGTCTCATTTGAATGTGGGGGTTGACGCTATGGCCTCGCTACAATGGCAGATAGAACACCGCTGCCTCCCCAGCAATGACTGGCTGATAGATCGCACATACCTGGAACAGAGAGGACTGGTGCTCCCATGGTGTAAGTCATGTCACACGACGTTCCCCTCCCGCAAGATCCCGGAAACAATTGAACAAATATTCTTGCAGTGTCCAGGGGCTGTCCTCACATGGCAATGGTGGGACAGAATCTGGAACCTGCTGGGCACGGGCTCTACCTGGCCATGGGACTGGAGGGTGATTCTATGCGAAACATGGACTTCCCCCGCAGATAGTTCCTTCGAGAATAATATGTTTAAGATAGGGAGGAGAGCCATCCTGTGGGCAATCTGGAGGAAACGGTGCATACGTGCCATGGAAGGGGTCCACATAGCTGGGGAGGACATGACGGACATGGTCAAACAGTACGTACACCAGGATCTTAGGGTACAATGGCAGAAAGTTAAAAGTCAGCTGGATCTATTCCTGGCACAAAATGACATAAAACAAAAAATCCAACAATTTTTAGGGGACTTGCTGGGCAGCGAGAACGGAGGAAGGATCGCCTTCATCAATTGGGACGGCGGCTGCTCCCACGAAGGTAACGAAGGCATCGATGATGGTAATCCACGGACGATCAAGAGAGATTATCAGATCTGTTTCAGAGATTGGACAACGGTGGATCCAAGAATTCCGTTGCGGCCTCCCTCGGACTTTCCTGACCCCTTTCCCCCCCATCAGCGGGCCGTAGTAGACATGCAATGGTATGGGATGGTATGAGTAGGCCTGACGGGTCAACAGAAGGGGCATCTTAATGGCAGGGGGTGGGAGGAACCAGGGTGTGATAGCAGATATCTGGCGCCAGGTTCAGGGTGAAGAAGTTCCCCCCCCTCCCAACATCCTGCTCAGTCAATCCCCTGGATCCCAGGGTAATCAATGCTGGCAGGGATATGCCTACACTTCTTTTTCTGATGCAAATTGAATTCTGTCCATGTAAGGGACGCTGGATCCGTTTTCCAGCAGGTGTTGCTCCCCACCAATAGATGGAGCTCCCCCCAGGTGCTCGTGGTGTCTGCTATTATCAGCACCACTAGCACTGACGGAGGCGTGTTTTCAAAAAAAAAAAAAACAAAAAAAAAACAGATACAATGTGGCCATCCACGTGATCAGAATAATCAGGAAAAGCATAAGTAATGTAGAGGCGCCCCCCCCGACTTCCTATCCCCCCTTCCCCCACCCGCCTACCCCCCCAACTCCCTCTCTCTATGTATTGTCGCATACCTGCCAGCTACAAGAGCCAACTTTGCAAAACAAACGAGGAAAAGAGCAGACAGCATGAGGGAAGTAAGCCCGTTCTTTTTACATTTCTCTTTGAAGTTCTTTCTTTTCTGTCTTTTGGATTTCTTCATTGTTTCTCTTGAGGGAATACTAATACTATGGCTATTATGTCCAAGCAGCAAATCCCAAGATATTATACAGTCACCATGTGCACATTCCCACGCAGAGGCTGGGCAGCAGATGCCAAAGTCAGGTGAGAGTACTTACTCGCTCAAGCTCTTCTGGCACGTCTCTAGCTGCTGAGCAAGCAAACGCAGTGTGTCAAGGCGACTTTCGACACTGCATGCCTCCAAGATGTTAGGGTTCCTGGCTGTGTCTGCCATGATCTTCTTCCAGTTCTTGTCGATAACGTCAAACCGTTTGGCCTCCTCAGGAAGCTGATTCCGGATGTCGTCCGAGCCCACAAAGATGCTCTCCAAATACATCCATTTCCTCTGGACTTGCATCCATGCATCAATAACCTCACCAATGAGACTAAGTTTCCCTTCCCATCGTCGCACTTCATCCAAAAATGGTTTGACATAACGTGACGCCGTCATGGATTGCATGTTGAGACCCATATCCTCTAAGAGCAGCTGCACTTCATCGGTGGACCGAAGAACCCATCCCCGGTCAAGCCCCCCTTTGGTGTACTTCGCAACATCAAATTTCTGGTCTTTCCACGTGTCCGTCAGTTTCTTGATCTCTTGCTCAATATTCAACTCCTTCAACGCGGTTGTTGTAATCTCGCTGATAACATTTGCAAAATTGTGCAGCTCCATCGCAAAAAGTTTGGCCAGCGTAAACGTTTTTGTGTCCATTTCAAAACTCTTGCCTGTCACTTGCATTAGCTTCTCCCAGTGCCTCTTTCGCAGCGCCTCACTTTTCAGATCCTGTCACATCAATGTGATGAATTCACTAAGATGATGATGGCACAAGTATCGCCAAAAGTTGGGAACTGTGTAATGTACCAAGTTGTGGTTTTCCTTGTTGTTTCTCATATCCATAAATTGGTATATCTCTGAAGTATCCTTTCTTTTCGTTTGCTTTACAAGAATCCTAGGCTGTTTGTCCGGGCGCCCGGGCACCCAACTTGTGCCCGGGTAAACGCCCGGGTGCCTGGCTGGGCATGAACCCCGGGCAATGTTCCAGGCAGCCCCAGCGCAAAAAAGAAATCAGAAATCTCCAGGAATAAAAAATGATGTGTAGAATTGCAATACAGACGACTATTGGCTGAGGGTCACATCCTAGGTTGTTTGTCCGGGCGCCCGGGCGCCCAACTTGTGCCCGCACAGGCGATGAAATGCAGTTGTATACATTCTTGGAAGTGGTAGCATGAGTGTGCCCTCAGTGAGGGCGTCTCAGCCCCGAGGCCAGGTTGTCAGAGTCAAGAGAGACAAAGAAGGAAAGAAAAAAAGAAACACAGATTCGGCCATGATATGGGCTGGATACATTCCTCTAAGTGCCAGTGTTATCACGTTACAGTCCTCCAAGGAAACACAGCTTCAGCAGATCATGGATTCCGCCCTGCCTCACTGGCAGGGTACTCAAAAGACAAAAAAAGAAAGAAATTCCTTGGATAGTCTATCCTGACCAGAGGTCTTCCCAGGCTTCATAGAGTCTAGGGCTCTTTTCATTTCTTCATTCGTGATGGGTTCATCCAGCTGGTCTGCCAAGGTTGTGGAATTGTTCTGGCCAAGTGCTTACATAATTTTTCTCTCACTTGCAACACTTGTCTTGGAGTGTGGTTGTTCTGTTTTAGAGGTGTAGAGGTTTTTGTAGAAGGATTCTGCTATTGAGATCATCTACCGTGGTTCTGATGTGAGGCCCTCTTCTCCTCTAAGTTGGTGAATGGCAGAGTTTCTTCCCCTGGATCTGATTTTCTGGAAGAAAGCCATTTCCCCCCTTTCCTCCCACTCTTTGACATTGAGATCATCTACCTTGGGTCTGATGTGAGGCCCTTTTCTCTTCTAAGTTTGTGAATGGCAGAGTTTCTTCCCCTGGATCTGATTTTCTGGAAGAAAGCCATTTTTTCCCCTTCCTTCCACTCTTTGATTCTTGCTTTCAATCGCACCTCCTTGGCTTTCCAAGAATTTCAGTTGCCCAATACTGCCCTTGCTCTAGATAGTGTTTCCTCGTATGAGGTCGCACCTGGTTTACTTAGGAGGTTCATTTCTGCCACCTTGACTGCTGCTTTCAGTTCTTGTATGCGCTGATTCCTTTTAGCTGCTAGTTTTCTAGAGGCGATAGAGGCTGCTTTGGATAGATTGGCTATTATGTTGGGAAGTCTGCACCCTCCTTTTCGGAGTCTATACATGAGATGGCTATTGTTTCCTTCATTCGTGGAGTGTCTAGGATGGAATTGTCAATTTTGAAGAGGCTAGGGCCTTTCTGTACTCCCAGGTCAAAGAGAAGGTTAATGAAGATTGGGCTGTGGTCTAGTCCGTTGTTGTAGGGCAGTTCGCCTATTCCAACATCGTGAATTGCTCCTCTAAGAGATTCAGATACTAGGAAGTTGTCCATTGCTGAGCTAGTTGTGTGTTGTGATCTGTTTCTTTTCCTAAAGGTGTGTCTTCTCACTTCTGGGTGGGGGTTCTATTCGGTTCCTTTCCATCATGAGTGCGTTCATTTCCTGGGCCTCAACAAACAAGGCTTCTTCTCTATCCGTCTGTGAGGTGGAAACCCTATCGTTAGAGGGGTCTAGTACGGTATTCCAATCTCCTACTGCATGAAACCAAGACTTCCACACCTCCGACAGATCTAGCAGCACAGTTAAACAAACCACTATCACTAAAAAGAACTCAAGAAACCCTGGAAAGAATGGGGAACAAGAAAGCCCCAGGTATCGATGACATCATGAAAGAGTTCTGGAGTCTGGACCCATTTCTCCCTGGACCGAGAGGAAGATCTCCTACAGTTTTTCAATGACAGTCGGGATAACGGAAGGTTGGGAAATTTTTTGAGTACAAATGTTGTCGCTGCTCTATAGAAAGGTTGAGATGAGATTTGAGAATTACAAACCAACGCCCTTCTCACAAGCCCTTACAAAATCCTGGCAAACGCAATCGTCAATTGGATACTGAACCTGACGGATAAGTGCCTCCACATATACTAGGCCGAATTCATTCCTATCCTGTACATTCAGGAAAGTGTCTTATCCCTGAAGTAGGCAGCCAAACAGATAAGGGAATAACATATGCAAGTGGCAATTCTCTTCTTTGATTTTGAAAAGGCATACAATCAAGTAAGGTCAGACTCCGTGCATGGTAAAGTTGGGGGTAGTCTTTTGTAATGACGTTTCCGGAAGAGTCCAGGTCAACAGGTTACTATCCGGGACCAACCACATCTCTAGATCAATGCGGCAAAGAGACCCACACAATGAAGCCCTAGCCTCTTTCTTGAGGAAGAACGCGTCAATTGACAGGCTGTCCACACGATACATTCATTCCTGCCACGACTTCTCCTTCCCGACCACCTCGATGTTGCCATTGGATGGACAATACTGACATGCGCCTTCATGTACTTTCAGGTCCTAGTCAGTGCCTTGGAAATGGAAGTCAATTGGTCCAAAATGGAAGGCTGGTGATTAACAGAGTACATCGCCCCACAACCTTCAGGCATCTGTCAACAAATGTCTTGGTCTACAGGAGAACAAACATTCCGGTACCTTGGTATAATAGTCAACAAAGACGGAACATGGTCAGGCATGGGGCCAAACCTGATAGCAAAAGCAATTTCGCGGCTGGCCCGTTGTAAGAAAGAACAACCTGAGAAGACTCAGCGTTATAGAAGGAGACAGGAACAGGGTCTACAAGCCTGAATCATACACACAACACCTGGAAATTGATCTCACGGAATGGTCTTGGAGTGCACCCGGCAGTGCCACCACAATATCACAAAGACAAAATAACTGACTATACACCTAAACTAGGGTATAAGCTGTTCTCCAAACCCATTACAGTATCCTCCGTACTAACAAAAAGATGGCAGAAACAAGAAATCACCCTCACAAATGCAGTCTTCAAACCAGTCTGGTCATCAAGCTTTTGCACCAGACCGGTCAAACTGGCCAGCCTACCATGGCTCAAAACATTCGGGGAACTCTTGGCTTGCACAAAGAAGAAGGAAAGACAACAGGTCCGAAGAGGCAACTTGGTGCAAAGTCTGCAATTGCCAAGCCGTAGAGTCTCTTAACCACTGCTTCTTAGAATGTGAGAAGGCACTAAAACTGTGGCATGAAATAGAACTAACATGGAATAAATACTCAGGTAGTGTAGTCCAATTTAACCTCGGCACCCTTTTCCTAGACATAGAGCAACACCCTCCCCCCCTCCTCAAAGGTTTCAATCTTTTCCTTTTTTCTCAAATAAGGAAAGCGACACTGTGCGCTATCTGGAGAAGAAGATGTGAACTGACCTTTGAAGATCAACTTGCTAACGCAGAGAATCCGCTCATCGTTATAAAACAACCAATAGAAACTGAAATCCATGCGCTATGGAAGAAAACTCAATCTCAGATACAAAACTCCCTGGATTAAAAACTTGAGACCACCAATAGGTTCACCTTACTAAGATTAGGGAATGCCAACCTAAGCACAATAGTGGGAGGGAGATTAATATTAAAGGATTGGCTAATTCTGCCTGTGCAAAACAATCAGCAGCTCATAAATCCCCCTACAGCAGCACAAATGTCACACCCAATCGACCCTGACACTGACACAGACAACAGAACAGACACTGCACTATAAACCCAATAGAAAGAACACCCCTGAACACTCACCTCCGCAATGCACCAAGAATTAGAGCAAAACTAGATAACACCTATCCTTGACCCCATCCCCATAATCTTCATACGCTACTGACATTGAAACACATCCTTTCTCTACGAGACTTACACAGCCTAAAACACCACTAGAACCCAAAACCCTAAGCCCGGATAACACCCAATCCCCCACCTCAAAACCACAGATGACACTATCCCTTAGCCAATCGAAGCACATACCTTAGGAATCCTCAACAGGATTTCATCTTACACCACAGTCCTTGTAAGAAGTAACAGATTCAAGCCTGCCCCAGAAAGACAGTAAACTGCTGCAGTCAACAGCTAGGACAGGTCAATAAAGGGTTCAATGCTCCAGTTTCACAAGCATTTCAGGCGGCAAGCAGCTGAGAGGAGCATAGCTTTACAAAAGCATCTACGGAAGCTCTGAACCAGCTTCAAGAGCAGTATAGCACCTATAGGTACCAAACAGCAAGGGTTATAGTAGTTTTTAGGCTAACTTAGGCAGGGGTGAGGGGAGGTACATCCTTCCAGACTGGAAGTAATCAATGCCGTCCCTCGGGCCTCCCAACTGTTATGGGGAGAAGTGTTCTTGCGGGCCTTGATCTTCGGTTCCTCCTCTTATTTTGGAAGCTAAGTCCATGGCGGAATGCGAAAGTGGGTTGGGCACAATATGAATGACAGCAATCCCTGCGGAAGGCAGACAAAGGAGCCCAAGACTGAAGATCAGGGAACTTTGAAGCCTTCCATGCATGGCAACCATATCCAGCTTCCCAACTCACTTCACGGTCAAAGGCTGACCCTTCTGTGTGTCTTGGTTAATCACCACTCCCAGAACATCTGACAGTCAATCCTCCTGATTAAGGGGTAATCATACTAATCAATGATGTTCAGGGTTTCAGCCAAACAGGAGGAAGCGTGGAGAGAGTACATCTCTGTGTTTTTTATTCCACTTGCCAGTGGAATGCAACCGGACTGATGCTGCCAGAACGGACAAGAAGCCCAGACCATAAGGACCTGGATTTTTTTTGGGGGGTGGGACTCCTTTTCATTCTGGGGAACATCAGTCCGGTTCCTCCCTTTTGGAACAGCAATAGAGAACTCACGGAAAGCAATGCCGCACAGAAAAACCAAAATATGATGCACATACTTAAAGATGCATACTTTTCTTCAAGATCAACGACGTAAAAAAAAAAAAAGAAAGAAAGAAGAAGAAGAAGAAGAAGAAGAAGACAGAAAGAGAGAAGTTTAGAAAACAAAAAGGGCAGGGAAAGAGAGAGAGGAAAGGGGAGAGCCAGAAAAGATCCTCAATGAAGGAGACCTACTTGTATGAGAGGCAATGAGTCTTGGAATCCCTTTATTTTGCCTTCGACCAGCCCAAAGGTGGGCCTGGACTTCAGTGCCTTCATTCGCTTGGCCCTTATAACAAACTCGTCTGTTCCAGCCAATAGCTTTTGAATGTCAAGCTCTGCCCACAGCATGGATGATGATTGCTTGACCGTTGCAGAGAAATCTGTGTAGAGTTGATAAATCTGGACCAGGTCCTTCATTAGGTTCTCGATCTGCACCAAACAACGTGACCGGTCATCATTACAGGAAAAACTTCGCTATACTCGACCTCCATTGAATAACGAGAAACTCAACAAGCCCCATCTATTCTGGGGGGCAGCAGTCTGGTTGCTTATCACAAACAAGCAACGACAAGGTTAGACAGGATAAAAGACAAGAATAGAAAGACAGAGCAGTACAGCCAGTACCCCCGCGGCACGAGACAGTGATTGGGTGGGTCTGCATGGGTGGGCACAGCACCCAATTCCCATCCCTGCGACCAGGGGTCCCATGATGGCCCGGAAACTTACATGCAGTACCCTTGTGCAACAGTTAGATTGAAAACTCTCGAGTTTCTCGTGTTTGGCCCGTACTTGCAGCAGTTTGCCCATCCCTTGGCGGACTCAGACCTTTCTTACTGCACTATAGTTCGTTTTGGGCTGGGTTGTACGTTTTCTTTAGGGGGGCCTGTATATTCTTTTATGTTTTTTTAGCTTTTTAAAGTTTTTTTTTTTTTTTTTTTTTTTTTTTTTTTTTTTGTTGACTGGTTTTGGTGTTTCCTATTGCTACTGTTTGCAGCTTTCGGTTTGGCAATGATTTCTACTGATCGGTGGATCTTTAGAGTGTCTAGAGTAGGGTTGGGGAGAGATCCCTACTGTGACCTTGAGTTGTGTCATACATGCTGCTCATAGGGGCCCGTAAGGATGTGCATAGATGTAGAATTTGGTGGTGTTTTGCTGTTTTTGGGTTACTGTACCTGGGCTGATGCCAGGGAGAACTCATGGGAGGGTCGCTCTGTTTTCAGGGAAAGAACTGAGCTAATGGCTCTGGGGGGTGTATCGTTGGACGTCGGCGCTTGGTTTTGTTGAAACAAAAATCCAGGAAAGGGATGATGAATCAAGACAGAGATGAGATGGGAAGGAATGTAGAGCGTGTGACAGTCCAAGATCAGTTGGTGATGGCGATGGCAGCCTTGGAGGGAGATGCCAAAGCATGTGCCATGAGCCAAGTGCAGCCCGCTGGGTATGAGTTCTGGTTGAACAGGTATTGTGAGGCCCTCGAGTTAGACGAGTTTCTTGAGAACCTGCTTGACCAGTTCCCCGACAAGAACAAGGGCATCAAGGCCGGAGAAGATATCCTGTGCATCCACCTCACACCATGGCCTAGCGTAGACGCCCCTGCAGCAGACCAGCCATGGAGCAACAGATGAACAAGCTCTTAGGCAGTTAGCTAAACCATACCTGATTCTGTGACAAACAACTAGCCCCAGAACTTGAGGAGGAAGGAAACGTTATGGAGATAAGGCTAGAGATATAGCAGCCCTATAGCAGCAAGTCAACCGAACTGCCTTCTCCGAGCTAAAGAAGGGAGGGACATGGGAGGGAAAGAAGATCATCAAGGACATGGTCACACAGAACCGCGTGTTCATCCTGTTGGAAGATAGTGCAGGTGAACCTATCTCTTACGACCAGATCGAAATGAGCTGCAACGGTGGGGGGGACACACACACACACACGCAGACACACACACACACACACACACACACACACANGAGAGAGAGAGAGAGAGAGAGAGAGAGAGAGAGAGAGAGAGAGAGAGAGAGAGAGAGAGAGAGAGAGAGAGAGAGACATGTGCCTGTGTGTGCATAGGTTTGGTTGAGGGGGAGAGATACATACCTGTTGCTGGTTGGCAGCCATAGCCGTGTGGACACTTGTATACAACTTGATGTATCAAAGACTTTCGAATTACGAGTAATCTTGAAGTGTGTTCAACTTGTGTAAAGGGTGACTCTTGTGTGAAGTTTTGTGTGTGTGTGCGTGTGTGGACTTGGTGGATTGTGAGTGTGAAAGTCCGTGTGAAAGTTTGGATCATTGCACCCTCTGCTAAACCTCTCTTATTGCACTTTATGTCCTCCTTGAGAGCAAAGCCTCACGTGATGTGCATATATTTGAGTATATATGATTTGCCAACTACTTTTTAAAAGAAAAAATGGGCTTGGCTGGTTGATGCAATTGCCAGGTCGCAGTGCAACCTTAGAGGTCATATTGGTGCAGATTGCACTGTGATCACATCTCAAGAAGAGGAAACCAGTAAAGTACTTGAAAATTGGAAACGACAAGATTAGGAAAAGAACATACAGATCAAAGTGGGAAGCAAGTCATCATGAGGATGCAACAACCACACATGCCCATTCATTGAACAGTGTTCGAACCATGATCAACATCTCATGAATGCACCATGCTTGAAAACCCGCACACGCACACAACTTGAGTGCATGAGATTGGAAAGGGAGCTTTGAAGCTTTCAATACCTCCAACAGCTCTGGATAAGAAGTTATCGGCAGATCAAAGAGCTTCTGCGCAAGCACCAGCTGGTCGCGCTTGGCATGTTTTGTGGCTAACTCTCCCTGAGAACCAGAAATTCAGCATCATAGTCAGGAGATCACGAGAAGCATAGCAAGTTCTTCTTTCATCGAGTCTTGAAGTGCACTCAGGAGCGATTATCATTATGGCAGTACCAGCTATTGGCTATGGACGTTTTGTTTTTTTTACAGGAAAGTCTCAAAGCGAACAAGTATCAACCAGCAGATGGTCCATGAAATTTCAACATGACCCTCGTACAAAATACTAAGAAGACTACATGAAGTTATGAACAGACCACCAATAAGAGTTGAGTACACTGGTCCAAAAACAATAAGAGTGTGCATGCACTTCAATCAGCGAAATTTCCTTTCTCTCCCACTGATTTTGATAGTTACCAGAAAATGGTCCACTTAGAGCTTTCGTTTATGACCAGGGATCACTAGAGCAACTCCAGAATCTCATTACAAATTTCAAAATGAACTGTTTGCAACTCCCCATTCTGTTTTTCTCTCTCCTCCCTCATTCGTGGCTACCCATAATCTGGACTGAAGATAGCTGATACCCATAGCTGATGGCCTGATACCATATCTGACACCTATCGCTGATACCCAGTGCTGGGTATTGACTGATTCCCATCATCTCGCTGATACCCATCGCAGGTACCACACATGATACCCATAGCTGCTACTCATAGCCCAGACCTGAGCTGATACCCATGGCTGCTACTCATAGCTGACACCCATAGCTAACACCCACAGTTGATACCTGTGGAGTTCGAAGGAAGGTACGATGCAAGGAAAATGATATATAAAGTGTAGGTAAGGGACTCAACCTCCTCACAAGCGAAAGCATCCTCGGATGTATGCTCCTGAAGAGCCTGCATGGCGGGCGAAACATGCAGAGTATTGACACCATGCTTCTAGATACTTTAGCCCAAAGGCGGGGAGAAGGGCGAAGCACTGAGTGGGGAAGTTTGGTCCTAAGGTGGTTCAGGTCCTTCAGGAGAGTGTATCGTTGGAGGATCCAATGCAGCCTGGCATTATGCCTCTTTGAAAAATGTTGTGTGCTCCTTTCTTTTGGTCTCGGTTTCAACAGTGCGTCACGGCGCTGACCTTCCCTCTCTCTCTGCCTGTCTTCCTCTCCCTCGCGGTGCATGCAGTATCTCACTTGTGTGTGCTATAGATTTCCCCACAACAGCCCCAATTCCACCCACTCTTTTATTTTTATTTTTTTATGATCGATTCAGAGTCAAAGCAGTCTTTGTCCTATTGCAGACAAAGAGAGCATTTGAGATGAGACAGTCCAACATATCAAAGCAATTTTATAATTAGACAGTTTATTGGTTGTCCTTGGGGTACCCCTTCCATTTGTTCTTGCAGCTCCCCTTTTACTGTGCCTCTTACGTACAAGGCTACCCACGTTGATTGTGGTTGAGTGGCAGCTGCCCACATCCCCGTGTACCTTCACGCCCCACTTGCACGTTATTTCAGGAGGCACTGAGGCAGAGTAAAAGGGAAAGTATGCTCCTGTGCATTTCTCTTCAGGCCTTCATACTCCTCTTCATTTCACTTCAGATCTTCAGCTTATACTTGGTCTTTGTGTCCGTCCTTCATCTTCATACTTCCATTCATTTCATTTCTGATCTTCATATTGTCTGTTCTCTTAACGATGCTCATTTGTATGTACTTGTTAGTAGCACAAAGGGAATGGAGGGGAACATGTTGGGTTGAGGAGCAGTTAATGCCTATGGCAAGCGGCCACTCCTACAGACTGGACAGGACAGGTTCGGGCGTGGACTATGGAAGCACTGCATCCAATTCTCGCAGTCACAGTTGCTGCATCGAATGGCACGGCCCAGACAGATGTCACAGGCTACGTGGCTCCTACATGCTAGGAACACAGGGGCACATCGACCGCAATTATAGAGGCATTGCCGTTCCAGCCCATCTACAAATTGGACATGACATGTCAGGGTGCCCTACATGAATACAGTACTGACTGTCATCGTACGTATGGAAGCAAAAACTCACGTGGACTATCCCTTCAATCCTCATGGCACAAGGCATGCGAACCATATGCTAGTTGAATCTCCGGCGGGTCATCACAAAGCGGCATGGAGCATCTTTCTTGGGCTTCCTCCGTATTTATTCCTTTTCTATGGGCAGACAACAACAGGGAGAATCGGTCCAAAGCAAGGGCGTTCAGCTGCTGCAGGATTTGGTCCGCAACAACTTGCCCTGGTGGTGATAAATTATGAGCACATCACTCTGCCGGTGGATCATCTAGAAGACTAGAAGTCTATTTTCCTCCTCGGACTGCTGTGTCTGTCGTTCGTCTGGCAAGAAAGAGGGAGATTCGTCAGCGATTGCCGTAGGTGTACAGCCAACACCACATGTGGGGACATGCTAGGAGAGGATGTGGAGGGTGATGGCACCAGGGATAGTCCACGCAGCAAAGACACATACTTTCTACGACAGCTTCCTGGAAGCATTGACTACACATGGCATGTTGCTGACATGTCATTAGTATGGAAGGCTGGCGTGCACAGTTATTTGAGCATGGCAGATGAAGGCCACAACGGCATGCTGGGCAAGTAATCAGGGGGTGAGGGCGATGAGCACAGGACAGGGGATCACAGTTTTCGTGTGAGAGGCTAGCAGTGGCCATCCCTTCATAGTGTTCACAGCAGAGGCTATGCCGTGTACATGCCAATCAAACTGCACCTGTGCGACGACACAACGGGAGGGCACAGCCACCATTCTCTGGAGAGGTCTTTTCACTGTTTGTGGTAGAACCAGCCGGATTGTTCTCCGCAGGTGCAGTGCTTGCAAACGCTCATCGACATACTGTTCCTGATGGACGAGCCAGACTGAATGATCCTCCAGCATTTGGTGATAGACAAAGTTAATATTTTCCATTGTGTGCACCCTACCGCCATTGTCCCATAGGGTCCTTGAATTATCTGCAAAGGTAAGAGCACTGAAATGACCTGGACGATATAAGATGTATGCCAAATATTCGGATCCCTGCCTGGCATGTGGTTTTGCGGAGCAGGCTGGAATTGCAGTCGCCTACCCATAATTGCCATATCCAGGACTTCTATGTTCACACCAGGTGCAGCGCTGTCGTCCTGTGGGCAGACGGCACGGTGCTCTTCTTCTATCCAGCGAACAACGTCTGCGAAATCAGAAAAAGTATACGGATTACAATTGTAAGCAAGGAGATTCAGAGGAAGCTACGGAGAGATTTTGCGCTCGCGCCTTCGGTAAGCGCTGAAAACAACGCTAATTCGCGCTCGCGTCCCACGGCACCCTGCCTCCGCGCTGGCGAGGGCGCCAACTTCGATTTTCAATTTTGAACGTCGAGCTCACGTCGCGATGGTGCACGCAACAACCCCTTTTCCTGGAAAACGACACACAAACTGATCCTCCCACTCAAGTGCCCTAGCCATAGCCGGGCGTCCCGAAGAGGACTCACACGCGCGCGCGCCCCAATCACAGGGCATGAAGGGCGCAATAAGGACAAGGGACGCAAGGACGAGTTCGGTATCTAGCCGAGGACTGGGACAAAGGGAGGACTTGACACAGGAAGTAAGGAGCAGCTCTCCCCAGGCCAGAGCGGGCAGCAACAGAGACAAAGAAGAGCCTTCCAAGTGAGCACTCAAGTAGCAATCGAAGGGCAGTGTCCGTTTCCAAAACCGCCTGAAGCACAACTCCCCAAGGGCAGACCATACGAAGAAGAAGATCGCTCCTCTTCAGGAAACCGCCCAACACGCAACAACACGGCAATGTAAGGACAACAAACGGACAGCGAGGCTGCTACAGCACGGGACATGAAGTGAGAGCTAACCGAAACTGGAAATACCACCTCTCCCTTACCCCCCCTCTCCCATCCCCCTCCCACACCTCGTCTTTTCCATCTTATAGAACGATCGATCCTACCAATCCTCACGGGATTTTTCTTCAAATAATTCCTCCTTACCTCTAAGGCGGACAAATCAAACTCCCCCACACACTCACCCCCCCTCCTTTTTACGTCACCCCACCAAATCCTCCTAATTTATCTCACCACCAACCTCCACCCCGCACCGACCTTACACTGACACAGCACTCCCACCACAGAGTGCCGCCCCCTCTCTTCGCTAAGGCTCCCCTCACATCCGATCCCCCCCTTATCCCCCCCACAACGCCTGACCTCCCCCTCCCCTCCCCCCCAGCTTCCCATCTCCACGGATACCCACAATCACTAGGGCACAAAGAATCCACCTCCTTCTTCGCCCAATAACTCACTGTACACAGCAGCATACCCAACATCGCCTCCTGCCCCCCCCACTCACAATCCCAAGCATCAAATACCCGAAACTATTTCCCTCCTC